AGAGAGAGAGAGAGAGAGAGAGAGAGAGAGAGAGAGAGAGAGAGAGAGAGAGAGACCCGACAAGGACGGCAACGGCGATGGCGGCACACGTGGCGTAGGAGACGCTCTGTCCCCGACGCGGGACACGTGGCGCATCGCTCACGGGCGTCCGTACGTGCGAACGCACCGTACGTACGCCCGTACGTACGGAGGCGTGGCCGTCCGTACGGCCCGTACGCCTAAGGCTTCGGAGGGTCCAGGGCGCGTTCAAGGCAGCAGGGGGGGGGGCGTGGTTCGGGCCTTGTCCACGTTGGGGCCGCTTCTAGGGTGTGAACGATGGCACCCAGAATAGGGAGGGGAGAGCAGCAGTTTGTCCCAGTCAGTAAGGACAAACAGAGGCAGGCAGAGCTCAAGTTCTGTGGATTCAAGTGGATAACGAAGGGGCAAACACTGCCGGACTCCAATGGGAAATTTCTCATGGAGTGCAAGTTGTGCGGCCGGGGTTTTCAGGGCAGTCAATCGAGGGCTGCACAACACTTCACAATAAAGAGCAACTGCGCTAAAGTCACCGCGGAGCAGCTCGCGGAGATCTAGAACAAGACAAACTACCCGTTCGATGAGAGCCACCTTTGGAAGATCATCGACTTCCTGAGGTCTCGTGGGTTTCGAGACAATAGAAATACTTTAGGCAGGGAGCGGCGGGGGAGGAGTATGATGACAGCGAGCAGGAGAGGAGGGCGCCCGAGGGGGGAGGTGATGATAGTGATAGTGATTCACAGGACATGGACGTGCGGCGAGAGGCGGAGCAAGCCAAGAGAAAGATGAGGGGGGACAAGGCCGTTGCCAAGGACAGCACCCCGGACGAGCATGACGACGATGACGATGACGACGACGATCAGGGTGCAGACCTTGGGCCGTTTGTTGATGGGGGTCTAATGGCCGCTGGCCGTTGAGGCCAAGAGGGGGCTGCCAAAGCGATGAAGGACGTCGTGCAGTCGAAGAAGAGAAAGAGGAAGGCAATGACACCAGCTCCTCCTCTACCGAAGAAGGGCAAAGTCCTTCGACAGACTTCCATGATAGAGACCTTCGATCCGGCGTGGCAATGAGATTTTACGAACGAGTTCCTGCAGTGGTGGTCCGCGAGCGGGATTCCATTCGAGGCGGCAAGGAGGCCGGAATACCAGCGAGTAAGAAAGCGGTTGCTCGAGTGTCCGCCATATACACATCCTGCGTTGCCCACACACCGTCTCATTTCTGGCGACGTTATTCCACAACAGAAGCGAGTTGTGGCGGAGATGGTGGCGGCCGTCCGCAAGGACATTGCAGCGACGGGAGCGACGATCCTTACGGATGGTCGCAAGTCCATCACTAGCGACCAGATCGTCAACTTCCTTGCCGCTGGGCCCACAGAAGCCTACCTTTTCAGGACTGTGCAGCGCGACGGTGATGTCCGGGAGACAGCAGAGGTGGTGGTGGAGCGATGGAAGGACGTGTTCGACAACTTCGGTGTTTAAAATGTCAACGCCATTTGCACGGATTCTGCGTCCGCGTATGTGGCTGCATCCAAGCTCCTGGCGAAGGAGGAGGTCAAGTACAGTCGCATTACTTGGGTTTCGTGTGCGGTGCATGTCTGCAACTTGTTGTTGTCAGACATTGCGAAGGACGACACCCCCAGGAAGCTTGGGAAGAGGGAGGACACCATCATCAGGGCTCGAGCAGTCGTGCGGTTCATCAGAGAGCACGGGCGGCTCTCAGCCTTTACCGAGGGTTCTCAGCCGCTCACCCCTCTTCCGCCTCGGCTGTTGCGGCCAGTTCCAGCGCTTCGCCAACCTCGTCTCAGCGGCGAGGCAGAGAGCTTGTGTACCCCGCGCAGACGAGGTTTGCTACCCACTACTTGATGCTGGAGAGGTTGTTGGATCATCGCCGAGCGTTGGAGGCGTTGATGATGAGCGACGACTGGTTGTGGACTGCATGGAGGAGATCCATTTTCTTGCAGGCTAGGTGGGTGCGTCATCAGGTGCGGTACGTGCTATTTTGGGAGCACGTGGAGGACATCGTGGAGCTCATGACGCCTGTGATGCAGCTGTTACGCCGTCTGGACAGAGGGGGGCGCGTGATGACTCGCATGTGGTCATGGGCACTTGCCATGGTCGACAGGGTGGCGAGGGCGACACTGAACAGGACGTCGAGGGAGAAGCTCAACTTGTTGTTCAGGCTTGTCAGGCGCGGGCCGATCATATGTTGGAGCCCTCACATTGCATCGCCCACCTCCTCAACCCTTGCCACAGGAGCATTACGTATTTTGGAGTGGCGAGGCGCAGTGAGCACGGCAAGACACTCGCGGAGGAGTCACTTCGATACCTTTGCCAGCAGACTGGGGGAGATGAGGACTTGTATCAGACGGTGCGCACGCAGTTGGCTGAGTTTCTTAGCCGGGAGGGCGATTGGACGTACGGAGGGGTTGAGGGTGACAGGGACGCGGCCTCCTGCAGAGGGGAGAAGGAGACGTCGCAGGTGGGCAGTGGTGGGTTCAGCACGGGGATGGGGTCCCTCTCCTTCAGACTTACGCCATTCGCCTGACACACACATGGACGTGCTCCTCTCCAGCGGAGAGGAACTGGGCTGTCCATGAGTGTGTTCAGGTGAAGAAGCGTAACCAGCTTGGTTTTATCAAGCTGGCTCGTTTGGTGGAGATATCCACCAACTTGAGATTGACTCGTTGACAGGGGAGGGGTTCAGGATACGTTCTGCCATGGGAGGACGTTGAGGAGGAGACAGAGGACAGCATTCCTCTTCCTTGTGACGAGGGTGTTCGGCCAGCTGACCGAGTCACGGAGGCGCAGCGCGAGCGGCAGGTGCAGCACGGGCGGAAGGATCACCTTTCCAGGTCTCCGCCCAGCGTTGAGACATATTTCGGTCATCGCGCTACGGTGCTCATGCCGACTGAGTTGGACGCCGTGTACGATCCCGAGCCAGATCCTATGGCTCAGGACCCGATGGAGGCGGACCCGTGGTCCGATCCAGACGACCTGGCAGTGGAGTCTGAGCGCGGAGATTCTGATGATGGTGGCGACGATAATCCTAGCGTCGAGATGTTGYGTCCTCGGACGCGTGCTTCCACTGCATCCGCTGCGCAGCATGCTCCTCCCCCTCCACCCCCGCCCCCGAGTGCGCGTYCTTCCACTRCWTCCSCTGSGYAGCATCCTCCTCCCCCTMCAYCKCCKYCCCCGAGTGCGSGTSCTTCCACTGCAGCYGCTGCGCAGCATCCCCCTCCACCTCCRCCTCCGCCTTCGAGTGGYCGTGCTCCCAYTGGAGMCGWTGCGCARCATCCCCCTCTACCTACAGATCGTCMASGACATGGYGAGCASGGGACTYGCGACATYGTTGACGAGCGAGACGACRRCGACGACGATGATAGASAGGRGTACGAGGGCARYRGTGAGGACGAGGATGATCCCGMGTATTCCCCGAGACRCGGACGTGGTGACGACGATGACGCCGACGACGAGGSCGGCGATGGTACACAGGCTGCAGGTGGTTTGCGGAGGTCGGGTCGACATCGTGCCGACCRATGTTGTGGTGCASGCAGGGGGGACAGTGGTGCAGGCAGGGGTGTGGGGGGCGCAGGACACACAGGGGGATCAGGCCGTGGTGGCTGAGGACGGTCGAGGCGAGAGTCTGCATCCTCCACTCGTACTGTGCATTGGGTTGATGAGGGTGGTGCGAGAGGAGAGGTTGGCGCCGGGTCGGCTGAGTTTGCTGCTGCGTCGGTAGAGGCTGTTGTAGAGGTTGCTGCATAGGCCGCTCGAGAGGCCGCTGGAGAGTTCGCAGTGGCATTTGAGGAGGTCGCAGGGGGCTTTGCAGAGGTTGCTGGCGAGGCTGCGCAGGTTGGGAGGGCTTCTGCGCAGTTGGGTGTCAGTTTCAGTGGTATTCTTGATGTTACGTTGGGGCATCCTCCGACACCGGCAGGCGAGCGTGGCAGTGGTGACGCAGCGGCTACGCCCGTCAGTCAGATACTCCGGGATGTACCTTCATTCAGCATGGGTGACATCAGTAGCAGGAGGCAGCAGCGGGGACACAATGTTCGTCGGGGCAGGAGGAGTGTGCAGCAGGGGACGGTGGGGATTGTTGACCTGAGCAGGAGCGAGCGGCAAATTCGGAGTAGGACAGGATCGACCGGGAGGAGAGGGAGAGGGCGCACGACTTGGCTAGCCGTTGCGAGTTGACACAGAGTATTGCGTCGAGGGCATGGGCAGAGCGGATGCGCGAGACGGGCGGTAGTGAGGGTCATCATGCGACGGACAATGCAGTGCTTGAGTGTGGAGGCGCAGGCGCCCGGATGCAGGCGAGAGACCCGCGTCGACGGTTCAGGGTGTTTGTATATTGCCTATCGGTGGTGCCATGACGGTAGAGGAGTTGGAGCGGCAGCTACGAGAGGACCTATTGCAGGCAGATCGGCGCGGACTGATGGACGAGGCGTCGAGGAGGTTCATGGCAGAGCGCGCAGCTTACGTGCCCTGCAGCCTGTCACTGCCATCGTCCACCACTGGTGCCACTACCTCTGTACATGCTGAGGGTCCAGTCACGGGACGGATTACATCACCGAAACCTGCAGAGTCTCCTTCTCCCAAATCACGGAAGAAGAAGATGAGAGCAGGTAAGAGTCTCAGTACTGTGAGGAGGGTGACGCATGCGATGCGGGAGACTCAGCCCGGGCTCGCCGGTTTACATTCGCGGACTCGGGAGGCATTGGCCCTGGACGTTGTCGCGGAGACAGTAGGTTGGCGGGATAGAGGCTCCAGTCGGGCGACGGAGCAGCCCATCACAACACCTGCTGAGGCGAAGATGCCATGTACTGAGGGGCGCACAGCAGGTAGGGGGGAGGAGGCGGAGCACAGCGGCCCCCCCGGGAGGAGCATGGTCGGACGTATATTGGGGGAGGATGTGAGGACGGTGCTTGCGCAACGACGGTCACAAGCAGGAGTCGTTCTGGAGACAGGTACCGATGATTTGGAAATGCCTCGTGGCCAGCGGAGGAGGGCTTCCGTGTACGACCTTCTTTGAGCACAGCACGGGGTTGACGCGGCGCCACAAGGGGGGGTTCATGCTCCGGATACTGCGCACGGGCCGGTAGGCGGCACAGGTGGCGGCGTCGGTGTCAGAGGTGCGTTGCCGCAGAGGAGGAGGAGGGACATTGTGGACGACGATGATGTTTAGTCCCACCATTAGTCCTCTTTCATCTTGTATTTCTTAGTAGTGTGTATTATACTTAGTGCTTCGGATGACGTGATGTGTTCATAGGTGTATTGTTTATTAGATTTGTATTTGTACAGATGGTTAGACTACTGCACAGTTGTCCATAAACAGGTGCAGTAGGTGCAGATTGTTGTTTCTTTTTCGTTTTATTTTTGCATCGATGTTTCAGAGGATTGCACTCTATATTCAGACATGGGCGCAACATCTGCAGCGCTTGCATTGTTTTTGTTTTCCTTCTACTTTGTTATCGATGTTTCAGACGATTGCACATTGTATTCGCACATTATTTGATTGAGTTCAATCTTCATGTTTCATTTATTGTTGTGTRTGTATGGTGCAGTTGTTTCGTGTTGTTGTTATGTTGCCCTGTAATGTTGTACTTTCTAAATTTCAGCAACGATTGTCACTCGCACATGATCTTCAATGA